CGCGGACGACGAGAGAAAGAAACAAGGAGAGCCTCGAAAAATGCTCGCTCGTTAAATTGGCTTTCTTGCGCGTAACCCACTTCTCCGCTAATTGAACCGGCGAGCGGTTCTTTTTCGTCAAATCGAGCGAGGCGCGAACTCTTGCTTTCACTGCGCCGTGGTTTCGGCACCCACAACCAACGGGACGATCGCGCGCGGGTGCATGAATAATTCCCGCGGCGCTGCTCGCGAGACACGTCCCCGACCGAGGCCTAGTTCGGCCTAGTGCGTGCGCGCCAATGCTCTTCACCTCCATCTTGGCTCTCGTCCTTTCGATTCCCACCCCCTCTGCTCCTCTTGGACTTTGGCTCTAGCGTGGACTGCTTTTCGGGGCAGGCAATGGCAGTCGTTGAATTGGGCGCTCCCGCCGAAGAAACCTCACGAGTGACTTTAGAGGACGAGTGATTCTGGTTGTGGGAATTCAAGCTTGGGCGCACGCGATTCGATTGGTCGGAAATCGAACGCCTCGGCCGTTAACGGAAACTGAAGTTTACTCATCACTCGAAGGAGCAGAAAAAAATGTTGAAAAAAGAGTACCGCTACGACTCGAGGCGCCTCCCCTCGAAAAGCATAGCGAGATATAGACTACCGCATCCCATCCGTTTCACCCACATCAAATTAGGCAATTCCAGTTGCGGCAGGCTCTCCCATGCAAATTGCTCGCAAAGATTGCCAATGCTAATGGATTCCTCGTCGAGTTGGAAATGGACTTTGAAACTGGCGTCAGCGAGCGCGCGCAAGAAAGTTTTCGGCGGTGCTTCAATTAGCCGGCAGCGTTGCACTGCCACGGAGGCACTGCCGCTTTGCATTCTGCGCGCGATCTAGTAACACGCCGAAGCGCTCGCTTTTTCGCCAGCTCGTTAGCGAGCTTCGAAGGAGAACAGGCGCATCCGGCGTTGCTCGCGAGTAGTTTTCCAGGCAACACGTCCCGCTTTTTTTCCCCCTCGCGCTCCAATACTCTCAGCTCCGAGCTGAATGGCCGTTAACAGCACGCTAGTCACAAGTGGGAAGGAGAAAAAAGAGCCTCTAAGATCCGCCGAATAACAGACTTTGCGGTCGGTGAAAAATGAACAGGACTGGGTGGGGGGGGGGGGGGGGGCAAACTCTTTCCAGTCAACCTTGATTGGGGGGTTCGAAAGTACCAAGCGTCGGGTTTTAAAAGCCTTCCCATTTGGCCGCTCGCGTGGCGCGAGATTATCGACGGCAAATTAACGAGAATCGATGAGCCATCGCGAGTCCAGCTTAGACGAGAAAAAGTTCCTGCGATACGGCAACGACCCGTTCGCCGCAGTTGAGGGTGAAAGCGCGCAACCGTGCGCCCGTCGCGATACGCGATAATTGCCGGACTCGCCACGAGAGATATATCTTTACTGCGCGCTCTCGCCGGCTGACTTTCGTTGAGCGTAGTCGCGTACATCGTTGCGTCTTACCTCGCGTCGTCGCTCGATATTCGGAAGGCGCGGCTCGATCCGCGAGTCACTCGCCGTCAGGTGCAGACGGCGAGCGAGGAAATAGCCAGAGACGCGAGTGCGTCACGAGAGACGAGCGGGACACGAAGGGGCGCGCGACGCCCGGAGTTGCGCTCCGATGATAGAGCGACGAGGTCCTTTCTTGCGCGAACGCGAGACGCCCGACGGAATCGAGGGGCCTCTCGTTGCGTAAACGCACGTGGCGCAGGATGCGTCTCGGCTGGAAGGTGCGAGCCCGCACGGTCGACGCGGCCGTGTAAGCGCACATCCAGATAAGAGTCGGTCGAGGCGCTTTCTGCTTTTCTCTCTTCCGAGTGCGATCGAAGCGAGAGAGAAAGAAACTTACAAATGTTTTGCACCAACACTGCCTTATGAAAGCACACGAGCAACGCGTCGTTCGATTAATTTCAAGTTGAATTGGAATATAAAACGAAAAGAGAGAGAAAAGAATTTGGCGATTACGCCTTCCAACTTGACATGTTGGCTGATTGCACGTTGGGAATATTGCCGGTAAAACGAAGAGATTTCTTTTCATCGCGCCGAAACGGAAGCCGGCTACGGCTATTATCGATGCTTGTTCCGGCGGAGTCGCAACGAGGAACAAAGAGAGCCCACGAGGTCACAAATAGACGCTTGATTTAAAAAAAGTCGTCTTCTTTGGCAGCACTGCGATTCGCGTATCGCGTTTCATTGGCCCCGACAGACACAGCTCTGGCTCTCGAAAAAGAAGCGCGCGACGTCTGCCGTCGAACCTTCGAACTCGCAACTTCAACGTAAGCCTTGTAACACTTTCCAGCGGCGCGAGTACTAAACTTCGCGGCGACTTTGTTCGCTCCTCGCTCCACGATTTGCAATTTGTCAATTGGCCGGTGAGAAAGGGTGTCGCGCTCGATGCGTAACTCGTAGCCAAGCCTGTCGCGTGACCCAGACGTCTGCCTAACGGCGCGGGCCAGCATTTCCCTTTGCCGATCTCTCTCGCGCGTAACAATGCAACAGCGCGCGGTTTTGCGTAATGCGGGCATTGTTGCATCTCTCTCTCGCGCGCGGTGAAAGTGCCACGGGCGAATTGCACAATGTTCGATGTATCCCGTTGTCGGGATGCGCGTTGCGTAATTTTTTTTCGCGCTTGATCGAGAGATGCGAATGGAGAGCGAGCGAGGAGAAGGAGAACGGAGAGCCGTTAGTAGACTCGTCTAGTCGCGACGAGAGAGACTGGCAAAACGAGTATTAAGGAGCGGCTTTTGCAGACCCTGCGAGAAGATAAAAGCAGCAGTCGCAAAAGGTCAACAAACTTAGTTTTTTATTTTTCTTTTTTTTTCTTCAAATTAACCTCCAATTGGACCATCCTTGAATTTTCCCTCGGTAGTTTGCGGTTTTTTTTCTGCCCATTTTTAACCCATTTTTCTCAGACAACCAGGGTTAAAAAGTTAATTACGAAATCATTCGCCTGCACGTTCCGCGATAACGCTCTCGGTCGACAAATCAATTTTTTTTTTTTTGTAATCTTGGATGACGTTGATGTCGATCACCGATAACTCGATTGAATCGGTTCGACATACATTCCTTCCGAAGAAAATTTAATGTACTTGTGCTTTGCGATGGAGGATCGCTCTGGTAATCATTGTTGCGCTCGGTTCATCGCGAAAAAAAGAGGCCCGATCTCCGCAACCACTTCGCGAAAGAAAAAGAAAGAGAGAAAGAAACGCGCGGCGTTCGACCTGCAAAATCAAGTCCGCGTGGTAAAACCGTTTCCCTTTGTTCTCTGCTCCCATTTTCGTCGTGTTCCTCCTCGCGCGCAGAAAGGAAACCGTCTTCCGATTGTCCCGCGTTCCTTTTTCTTGTGTGCTTCGATCTCGTTGGAAATTTTTTTTTTTATTTTGTTCGACGAACTTATCGAGTTTTGCTGCGATACAATGCTGGGTTGAGAAATTTGCTGTCAATGAATTCTCGGGAAAATAGCTCAATGAGCTTTCTTTCGCAAGATTCGACATTTGCATGACAATCGCGATGGCTTCTTAGCGCATCCGAAATCCTGCTCCAAAAGACAACTAGAGCGAGAGCCCGCAGCGTCGCGAACGAACTCGACCGACAACCGAAATAACAATTTGTCGAGCGATTATTAAGCCGCGTTAATTTGTCGTTGCGTTAGTAGGCTGAAGAATGCGGAGCTGAGCGCGCCTCTGCGAAACGTACCGCATTGTTCGTTTGACTTCCTATACTACGTGACATTTTAATTGGAGTAAAGGCTTTCGATAAGGTACTTTTGGAACAAGCTTTTTTTCCAATTCCATGCCAAACGCGATCGATCTCTTTGCGTAAGAGGGATGAATTTTGCTTTCGGCTTTTACTTCCGAAGCGAGACTTTTCGGAGAATTGGAATAATATCGTTTTCGGAGAATGATCATGAATTATTGATGAGGTCCCTGTTTCAATATTCGAGCGAAATGGAAAAATTCATTTCGCGGAAGATTTTCTTTTTGCGCGCCAATCAATCGTTTATAACAATTGATTTGTTAGTTAAAATCAAAACGTACATTGATGCGAAATTACGTATAACTCGCGCTTTCTACACTCGGTGCCACGAGAAAAAAAAAGTTGGCATCGAAAACTCAGTTGAACACTTCCATAAAAGCGAAAACGTCTCGGGACGGCCGTAACAGTCGCGTCGGCTTTATCGATCTGCCAGCCTCGACTCATATGCTTAATACAAGCAGTAGCAGCTGCGTACATATACGACGTCCTGCCAAAAGTGTATATTATACGTGTATGCGAGGGTACGAAACTTTCTTTTTATTCTCTTTCTCTCTTTGATGGAATAAAGGTTTCGCTGAGTATTCACGAAACGATTGTACGTTCGTTGAGAAGAACGACTAGATAGCTTATCAGACGTGATTTAGAAATTGACGTTTACTCGCGGCTGTTCTCTCAATAAATTGTTTGCTTTTGCCATCCAAAGCAACAAATTATAACAATACCAAGTCAACAGAGCACTTCGCTTGTTGAAAATCACGTAAAACGAGGCAATCTCGTGCCAAATTCTCTTCTATGCCAAGAACCTTGACATCACGCCGCAAACGATAACCCATTCAAATTGTCGCCACCCCCTCCCCCCTGTCTCGTAATGATAAGCTCGTTCCGTGAATGTGAACGACGATTTCCCATTTTTAAAGGACACTGTTACAACTTTTACGGGAAGAAGAGCCGCACCCATCATTCTGCACATGTCGCGCACACATTCGTCTTATCTTTCCCTTTGATTTTTGTTCTCTCGGAGTCGTAATTTTGCTCGGCACAAACGTGTAATTCTCTCTTTATTTCTGGCGAGCTCACGACGCGCATAGTAATTGCGCGTGGAAAACCATCGAATAACGGAAGACGATAAGAAAAAAAAACCCGGTTATTTCTGATTTTTACGTCGATCGCCTGACACTGGAATTCGACAACACGCTTGTCACGTTAATTAATGAAAATGAATATCGCTTTCTGTTGCAGTACCAAATGATGACGATACTGTACGACCAATCGCAGCAGCAGGGCTGTCGGAAAAAGGACTTGTCAACGACAACCACAGCAACTCAACAGCAGCAGCCACCATCCGACATCTGCGAACAGTACGCTCACGAACGGGAGCAATGCATGAGGTTCTTCGAGAAATGGAGTGAAGGCGAGCAAGTGGAATTCGTGGAGCAACTGCTGGCACGCATGTGTCACTATCAGCATGGCCACATCAATGCCTACCTCAAGCCCATGCTCCAGCGTGACTTCATATCGCTACTGCCCAGTAAGTCGTAGGCTGGAACGAGGGAGGATAGTGACTCGTAAAGTCACGTTTGCTGATTCGTCTCCATGACGCTCTTCTCTCACATTACTTTCCTCCTTTTTACTTGACGGAACCGTCTTCCTTCTCTGCTCGATTGGAAAAGACTTTTATTTGAATTTCCCGGAAACTTGATTTTCACCAGTCAAGCGTGAAATGGTTTTTGTATTCCGTTTTTTATTTGTTCTTCCTGTAAGAATTTATCGCGGTAACAAAAAAAAAAAAGAATTACGTGTACTCAAGGTATCTCCATTTCCGATAATACATTGAAGGACATTGCTTTTTCCGTTCTGATAAAGCTTTGTCAGTTTTTTTTATAGGCAATGCGATTCTTCGAGCAGGGCAAAATTGTTAAAACCCGTGTTCGCAATATACAAAGAGCTTTTTTCACGCATCAAAACAGTTAATATTACAAGGCAGCTTTGAAAATTGTCAAACAACTTTCAGCTGCGTGAATAGCATAACTGAAAAATGAAATGTTTCAACTTTGCTTTTTGCAGAAAAAGGATTGGACCACGTAGCTGAGGCCATCCTCTCGTTTCTGGATCACGAGTCGCTTGCGGCTGCCGAGCTTGTCTGCCGAGAATGGTACAGGGTCATTAGCGAAGGGATGCTATGGAAAAAGCTGATCGAGCGCAAAGTTAGAACTGATTCCGTTTGGCGTGGACTTGCCGAAAGGAGAGGATGGTTAGTCCTTTTCTTATGACTTCCTTACGAGTAACATACTACAAAAATGCTAAGAAAAAAAAAACTAAATTCTTGAATTTCAGGATCCAGTACCTGTTCAAGCCTCGCCTAGGCGAGAATCATCCGAGCCACACGTTTTACCGCAATTTATTCCCAAAAGTGACTCGCGACATTAAAAACATTGATAATAACTGGCGCAATGGGATTTTCAATCTACAACGAATAAACTGTCGCAGCGAAAATAGCAAAGGAGTTTATTGTCTACAATATGATGATCAAAAAATCGTCTCGGGTTTACGTGATAACACAATTAAGATTTGGGATCGCAATAGTTTGCAGTGCACCAAGGTGCTAACTGGACATACTGGCTCGGTGTTGTGTTTACAATATGACGACAAAGTTATTATTTCCGGCTCGTCGGACAGCACTGTGCGCGTGTGGGATGCCGTTACTGGAGATATGGTTAATACCTTAATTCATCATTGCGAAGCTGTGCTTCATCTCAGATTCAACAATGGCATGATGGTCACTTGCTCAAAGGTGAGTTTTTTCTTTTTTAAACAATGAATGTTTAGGATGCTGTTATTTACGTCGTTAGTTTCTGCAGTGTTGTTATTTTTGCTTGAAATTAAACATTGATAGAAGTACTACGTCACTGAGCGAAGTGCGTTGAACTTCTTTAAAAATAATTTTCCATTTAGACGTCCAGATATTTTGAGATATGAAGGCTACGACGAAATTTAAAGCCTCCATCGAATTCTGAAACAATATTGATTTTTTCATTTGGCCTTTTGAAATATCAAAACATTATCTTCTATTTGTAGGATCGTTCAATAGCGGTGTGGGACATGACATCTCAAACAGAAATCCAACTACGTCGCGTTTTAGTAGGCCACCGTGCAGCGGTGAACGTAGTTGACTTCGACGAGAAGTACATTGTATCAGCAAGCGGTGACAGAACGATTAAAGTATGGAATACATCAACCTGCGAGTTTGTGCGTACTCTGAGCGGTCACAAACGTGGCATCGCTTGTCTTCAGTATCGGGATCGATTGGTTGTTAGTGGTAGTAGCGATAATACTATCAGACTCTGGGATATCGAATGCGGCAATTGTTTGCGTACACTCGAGGGACACGAGGAACTTGTCCGGTGCATTCGTTTTGACAGTAAACATATCGTCAGTGGCGCTTATGATGGGTATATAATTCAACTGTTTGCATAATTTGAAAATATATATGCGGAAGTTAACGTATTTCTTTTCTCTTTATTTTCAGAAAAATCAAAGTCTGGGACTTGGTTGGAGCATTAGATCCACGTACTCTGCCTACAAGTCTATGTTTACGCACGCTGGTGGTAAGCTCAGATTATATAACAAGAGTTAACACTACTTTACGATCATTAATTTTTTGTTATAACTTTTATTGCAGGAACATACTGGTCGCGTGTTCAGATTGCAATTCGACGAGTTCCAAATTGTATCATCTTCACACGACGACACCATACTTATATGGGATTTCCTAAACTGCAATCAAGACGGCTCAGCTAGCGACACTAGCGCTGCCTTCCGTAACAATAGTACGATCAGTGTTAATCAGTCTGATACTAGATCTCCATCTCGTAAGTATTTAGTTGTTAATCTATATATTAATGATTTATTGATAGGTTTTGAAGTAATTTTTATCTTGAGTATCTTTACACGAGTTTTCTTGAAGAGAAACAAATTTATGTAGTAAATAATGACTTAATACTCCGATAAACAAATAAATAATGACATGTTAAAAATAAACGTTACTAATAAAGATTAATTTTTTCTTTTCCAATAGCATTCGAGTGACGCATCAACACGATGATTCCTTTATTGTGATATAACTGTGAGTGTATAACATATACTTTTTATTTTCACGTTTTTTCGTGAATTTTGCAATCGCTTCATTCTGGAGCAATCGGTAATAAGGGAAACGGTAAAATTACATCCTCAATCTATTTGATTCCAGTAAAGTGGTTAACAAGTGATTTCAATGTGTTCACGATAGCATGCGCAGAGAAAAAAGAGCTACTTCGGAAGATACAGAATTCTGGACAAAGCAAGTTATCGTGATTGGAAAGTAAGCTAATGAAAAAGGACTCGGCGACGACGACCTTCATTCGTCGCTTCATGCGCGAGGGAAGAGATTAACATAAACAAACAAAATATGATCAATTGAATTTTTTTCCGAGGTCTTTGAAAGCACATGTTTTTCATCCAGATAATCTGACTTTTCATTATTATATGCTATAGAAGGAACGAAAAGAAAACAAAGTACAGAAATAGCAATGTGCATCATATACTCATCTTTACATCCCGTGGATGTAAAACGAGATATATAAGAACAATGAATCTTTTTCGTATTTTTGGCCCAATTGTGTAATCGAGATAAAAGCAAAGCTCTAAGCTCTATGTAATCGTGTTGACCACTTTTTTCCTACTACGATGGGACGAAAAAAGAATAAGAAAATAACACAAAATAAGGTAAAAAAATAAAATAAAGACAAAAGACTTACGCAACAATGGAGAAACGTTTTTAGGAAAGCTAATTAAATGAAATATTAGATGTATTATAGCAAAAGAATTTTTTATGTAATTAATTTATCGTAAGGAGACAGGAGAGTGTGATGTGACTTGTCGTTTGCTTGGAGTACTTATTTCAGTGCGTGTGTGCGGTCGTGTGCTTTAGATGTACGAATGAACAAAGAATCAAGTTTGATCATCGTGTTTTACGTTTTCAACAAGTCTTTATGAAATTTATTGCTAAACCGCCTAGCAAAGCGCCGTTCACGGTATATGTAACAAAATTTCAAGTCTATTACAAACAAAAGGGACTTTACGATTTTCTTTTCTATTTAAACAAAGTTCATATAATTTTATCGACGACGGGCTAGAGCGACGAAAACGCATTATTCAAAAAATTAATATAATTTATGTTTGCGCATTAAAGCCTTAGCTACGACGCAATGCCATTCAATGTTCAAATTATTCTTTATATTCAAAATTTGTAAATAGAATAATTATCTGCACGAGCAGTTCCGTTTGTTCCGAAAACAAGCAAATGTTTGCAAAACGTTGCACATAAATTAAATAATCTAAGAGATATGTCCAAAAAAATTTTTTGCTCAACTAAAAAGAAATCTTCATTATTTTTTGAAACATAATAGATAATTTGTAAAAAGGAAAATATACACTGTATAGTAATCAATACTCTTTGCTATTACATTGGTTGATTCAATGTTGATATTATTTCTAAAAAGAATAACATTTATGTTAGAAAAGAACAAACATGAAATGTTCAGAAACTGCAATAACTTTTAAAATGAATTTTCTTTTTATTTGATTAATTTTGAAATTGATAAAGTTATACCTCATTTTTTATAAAATATATTTTTTATTATAAGGAGCATTTTCTATTAAATTTTATTTAAATGTAGGTTACATTATCAAAATAAGATTGCTCATTCGCTGTAATGTAATCAAGTTTCTTGCAAACTGGATAGCAGTTGGATTTTTCGTTTTCTAAATTTTCCAATGAAAGAGCAATTTAGTATTGATGGCGTATTACCTAAAAAATTGTATGAGTGTGTAAATACTTTATGAATTCCTTGTTTGTTGTCATAAGGGATATGCATAATAACGATTAATTCTCGTAGATTTAACGAAATAGAAAAAAAAAACAGACTGAAAAAAATTAATTCGTAACCGATGTGCGTGTGTTTATTTTGTTTATAAACTCTCGATGTATCTTAATTTTTGAGTAGAATTATATTTTAAGCAAAATGTATCATTGTTTCTGGTAAAATTTAGTGTAATAAATAATAAATTAGATAATCAATTAAGAACGCAAACTTGAAATGTCAGTATATCGTGCTCCTTATTAGGCGAAATAATAATTATAAACATTGAGATTTCAACTCCTCAACATGTCGAATATTTAAAAATTTGAATCAAATAGATTTAACTTAAAATTACAGATCGTCATTCGGTGTTGCCTTGTCTACATATGCGCTTTAAGTAGAAGACTATATATTAAAATTATTATTAAGTATAGAGGGAAAATTAACTTAAATAAAATCAATATAAATATATCTGTCAGCCATCAAAACTTTATACAATTTTGATAACTAACACGCATTAAGAATATTATTTTATGACTTGACCTTTAATTATATTTTTTGTAAGAAATGGTTCCTTTCTTGATAATTGCAATTACCACTTGAATAGTTTAACTTGAGGTGTTAGTGGACAAGGCATGTGTGTTATTTTTAAATTATTCCATTATAAATGTTACAAAAACAAAGTTTTGAAATGGAATATTTAATGAACGATGATTGGCTTTCAATATTCATCTGTGTATTATTCAAAATTAAAGTTGTGAATTTTAAGCAAACTAGCCGGCAAGCTTCATTGCGAGAACGTTGTCACAACCGTTTTTGCCAAACCTGCCAACCAAACGGCGTACAACGTTTCTACGACGAATAGTATATGATCACCGCAACGCAATCGAGGCATTGATCAAATGAATCGACTTTGAACAGTAATTAAAACTTTTATATAGAGCGGAAAATCTTCACATTATCAATGTCTAGATTACGTATAAACAACGGTTTTCCTATTGCTTCTATCGTAAACTAAAAAACATGATTTTTATTACTTTAACAACGGAAAAACTGAAAAATGATAGAAACAGAAGAAACTTGTTTATTTTTTTGCGTGTAATTGCAATTAGCAGTCCGCTTTCAAAGTTAAAAATTGTAATTATTCAATAATATTCTGAGACTAATATTTATTGGTGCTAGGTAAACCAATCGGCAACTTGACGAAATAACGTTGGGATACCGTTGGCAGCCAATAAAGACGAACGTTTTACCAGTTGAGACATTGTTACCACCACGATTATTAATTGATTATATTTATAATTGTTTGGCTGTCTGATTAACAGGTTTGACAATTACAGCTTTTCTGCTGTGTGTGGGTGTGAATATTAAGAAAGTGGATTGGTTTGGTAATTTAATAGACAAGATATAAATTATAAAATAGTATGATATCAGTCTAAAAGAATTTATTGTATGATGTCGTTTATTCACGTTGTATTTTGAAATTCATCACCTTCAATTTTTATTCAAATGTAAAGCAAATATATGTTTATAAATCAGGATACTTATTAAAGATAATACTTCTCAATTACCAATTACAACTTTATTGAAAAATCTCGCACATTAACACGTTGACTGCTACATGACTTAATATGAGTTATGATTTTTATTCATCAGGTGCTACATGATCTATAGTAAATTTAAAAAACAAAATCGTTTTCTCAACTCTCACCAATTATTAAATGTTTTATCCTGCCGTTTTTATTTGTTTTTTGGAATCTTAAAAATGAGTAATATTTTACCGTTTTGGTTTATATTGCTAGTTGTATTCGAAATATAATAAATTTAATTCTAAAGTTTGATAATTTTTGGTCGAGCACTGTCAGAAGGAATGGTTTGTTTCGCTTTAGCAGTTAATATGTTAATGAATACACAATGAACATTATAAAGGTATTTTTTCCACTTCTTTTTTCCATGAAGCTGAGTGCATAGTTTACTCTTTTTCAGGTGCGCTGCGACACCCATTAAAACAAGTATAAAATATTACTTTTTATGGGACTTATTTTCAAACTAAAATTTAATTTCACTTACTGTTTTCTACTAACGTGTTATATTTTATTTTAACTTTAAATATCAGTATTGTATTGTTTTACACGCGCGTGCTCATACACTCACAGACATATGCACGCACGCACACACATATAAAACTTCAAAATTTTTGCCATCAAATTTTATAACAAGCATATCAAATTCAACACCATAATGAACTAAATAATGCAGTTAAATTTTACGTTATCGAATACAAATATTTTAGTTAATGTATAATTATATTGAATTATTGCTACAAATGCTACAATTTAACCTTTTCTTTTATATTCATAGTACAATAAAAATTTTATGGGAAATGCAGCAAATCACAGCAACAATGCGGGTCTATCCCCCACCACCTCGACTCCGCGAGTATAGTGTTGTTGCAGGCAGTGAGAGGTGGGGGAGCGAATGAGGCGTCGTCACGTTGAATGAAAACGCGAAAGGTGTGTGCTCATCGGCTGACTCAAATCAGCTCAAAGTGCCAAAGAAAGTTGAATAAAATACGGTACCTTTTACAAAGTCTCCATTTAGTTCACAACATATTCTGATCAAAGCAACGTGTATGGTCTTTATTCTTATCGTTTCATGAAGGTGAGTACCACGCTACAACGCTTCACGCGAGATCCTTTGCAAGAAAAAGACGGCTCGGCAGACATTCCTGCAACAGGGCTGTCATCGCATTTTCCCGCTGATTCAGACACATTAAATGCTATCATTTCTTATTTGGTTCTCCTATGGAATCTGATAATTTGCATATCTGTGTTTAATGTGTTACTATGATAGCAAGGTTACGTAGATGCAGTTGTGTTAGATAATTAGGACAAAAAATTAGGCTATGCACTAGAATCGGTTTTCTATTGTGACTCACTCGCTAGGCGTTACTCTCTTATCGGATTTTGTTTCTTTAATCAGGTATAACGGGATATATTAGATTTTTCTTTTTAAAATAAAAAAGATTTTCTTTTTACACTTAATTAAAAAGTTTTAACTGTATGAATAATTAATGTATTTCTGATCAGTCATATTTTAAATTTTCAATATTTACGTTAAACAGAGTAACAAGTGACGAAAATAAAAATGTCCGATCACTTTGGGACTATTACCTTAAAATGGGATCCCAAAAACTTGGAGATCCGCACCATGTCAGTGGAGAAAACCCTGGAGCCACTTGTGCTGCAAGTGACAACGCTGGTCAATACAAAAGGACCCAGTAAGAAAAAGAAAGGCAAATCAAAGAGAGCTAGTGCTCTTGTTGCAGCTGTAGAGAAAGCCACTGCAAATTTCATCGAGAAAGGAGAACAAATTGCTTATGAGAATCCTGATATCACAGCTGAGATGCTTAGTGCAGTTGATGAAGTGAGAAAGACAGGCTCTGCTATGAGTATTGCAGCTAGGTAAATTTTTTTTTTGAATCATAGTTTATAAAATGTTGCATGCAACAATTTTAATTGGATAATTTTATAGAGAATTCTCAGAGGATCCATGCTCATCTCTTAAAAGAGGAGCAATGGTTCGTGCAGCCCGAAATCTCCTTTCAGCTGTCACTAGACTGCTTATCTTAGCAGACATGGTTGATGTTCATTTGTTGCTGAAATCTTTGCATGTTGTTGAGGATGATTTGAAGAAACTGAAAAATGCTTCCTCACAAGGAGAATTATTGGAAAATATTAAGCAATTTGGTAGAAATGCCTCAGAGCTCATGAATCAGGCAGCTAAACGTCAGCAAGAGTTGAAAGATCCTCAACTACGTGATGACTTAGCAGCTGCACGTGCTGTCCTGAAAAAACATTCAACCATGCTGCTGACTGCTTCTAAAGTCTATGTTCGGCATCCTGAATTGGCTGCTGCCAAAGCTAATCGCGATTATGTATTGAAACAGGTTAGTTTCCTTTTTAATCTTACTTTAATGCCGAGCCTTCATTTAATTATGTATATTCAAGGTTCACGGTTTTTGATGAAATTTGATTAAATAATTGATTAATAAATGAAATAATGCGATTAGTGAATCATTGTAAAAGTGAATCGCACGTATAATACTTAAGTTTTTCGTATCTCTGCATTATGATTACCGACACTTGCCGCCCTCTGCTTTCACTCACTCAACTGTACGTACATGCAAATCACTACATACAGGTCTGTGAAGCGGTGAACACGATAAACGACGTTGCTCAAGGCAAAACACCATCGGAGAGTCAACATCCATACGACGGTCCTGGAGAATTAGCTGCAGCTCTCGACGATTTCGATGCTCGTATGAACATGTCGCCTCTCGCTTACAACGAAGTTCGTACACGACCAAGCCTTGAGGAAAGACTTGAGAGTATTATTAGTGGAGCTGCTCTTATGGCTGATTCATCATGCACTAGGGATGAAAGACGCGAAAGAATTGTTGCCGAATGCAATGCCGTTAGACAAGCTCTTCAGGATCTACTCAGCGAGTACATGAATAATGTAAGTTTTTGTTGTTTGTTTACCTGTTTCTTTTGTATAATAGTAACACCGCAAGAAACGATCGATGCTGTATAATCGGATTATTTCGGCTTACGAATTAACATTTGTTTCTGGTTAGAAAAAAAACTTACTATATTTTTTTTCTACAACACAAAATAAAATTGTATTAGAGAATATTTTCATTGCTTTATATTCTAAATGTAACACTTTTTGAATGGTAACATTCATCACATAAAAATATTCTACAAAAAATAAATACCTCTTTCCATAATTAAAAACTGATAACTTGTAAAATAGTTATCAAAATAACTTTACTGTCAAAACACTTTTAACTATAATTTTTTCAATACTCTCTTTCATTTTCATAATATTCTAGCATACAAAAGACATTAAAATTTAATTGACAAAGAATAGTGCACCTTGTTAGTTTTTTTACCTTACACTGTTTATTGATGTTTTTTTCATCATTTCTTTATGTTCATACGAGAGCAGTTGCAACTCGCTCGTGCTGGTAAAAGGGTAAATATAAAAAGATCACCCTGTATATTGCTCCTTGTAATGCAGATTCAACTTATAACGCTGGTCATCACTTACAAAATCAGCTTGTTGTTTGAACATTCCTATAATAATTATCAACTAATAATGTACTGCCTTTCCATTTACAGCTAATTTTTTTATACCACTGCTTAGACAACTGAAGCGCGTGTATGCTTTAAAACTTTGTAAATAGCCGTCCACGAGACATACACTTAACTTTGTATCTTTGACTTTAAATATAATTGAAAATATTTAAGTCCATAGCTCCCAGCTAGTTTGGAGTTAGTTTACTTTGAAGATTGCAAATGAATTATATATACACCAGTCGATGACTCCTGAGTGTTGAGTGTCTTCCTAACTTAATTAAATTCAAGCTCAACTGACTTTCCTCTCCATATTTGACAGATGGGTGTATCGGAACAATCGGAGGGTCTTGAACGTGCCATTGACCACATGTGCAGAAAGACGCGTGATCTACGTCGTCAACTGCGTAAAGCTGTTGTTGATCATGTATCCGACAGTTTTCTCGAGACCAGTGTACCTTTGTTAGTACTGATCGAAGCTGCTCGTAATGGCAGAGATAAGGAAGTCGAAGAATATGCCCTCGTCTTCACCGAGCATGCCAACAAATTAGTCGAGGTAATTCTGTCTTCTCTATCTTCAAAATAAATCCAATGCTATTTTTTTAATTGATTGTTTTGTATAAAATAGGTTGCTAATCTGGTCTGTAGTATGTCGAATAATGAGGACGGCGTGAAGATGGTGCGTTATGCTGCCGCTCAAATCGAAAACCTTTGCCCGCAAGTGATCAACGCAGCTCGAGTGTTGGCAGCGCGCTCTCGCTCAAAAGTAGCACAAGATAATATGGAGGTATTCCGTCAAGCTTGGGAAAATCAAGTTCGAGTGCTGACCGAAGCCGTGGACGATATTACCACAATCGACGACTTCCTCGCTGTGTCTGAGAATCACATCCTCGAAGATGTTAACAAGTGTGTCCTTGCTCTTCAAGAAGGTGACGCTGATACATTGGATAGAACGGCTGGAGCAATACGAGGTCGATCAGCTAGGGTATGCAACGTCGTTCAGGCAGAAATGGACAATTATGAGCCGTGCATCTACACCAAGAGAGTGCTCGAAGCTGTTAAGGTATTAAGGGAACAAGTTATGCCCAAGTTTGCTCAAAGAGTCGAAGTGGCAGTCGATGCTTTGGGGAGCACTCCACCTAAGGATGTTGATGAAAATGACTTCATTGATGCATCTAGACTTGTGTACGATGGCGTTCGGGAAATTAGACGCGCTGTTCTAATGAACAGGGTATATTTTCATGCTCATGTTTTGTATTAGCTTTATAAGCGTAAAATCTTAATTAATAATGTTGAAATTTATGTTTCAGGCCGACGAAGACTTAGATCCAGAAGATGTGGAATTAGACGAACATTATACTTTAGAAACTCGCAGCAAATCAAGTGCTCAGACTGGTGAACATGGAGTTGACGAGTATCCAGAAATAAGCGGTATAACCACAGCTCGCGAAGCTATGCGTAAAATGACTGAAGAAGACAAGCAGAAAATCTTGCAGCAAGTGGAACATTTCAAGAGCGAGAAGCTTAAGTTCGATCGAGAGGTAGCCAAATGGGACGATGCTGGCAATGACATTATTGTACTTGCCAAGCATATGTGCATGATCATGATGGAAATGACAGACTTCACTCGTGGCCGTGGTCCTTTGAAAACTACCATGGATGTTATCAATGCCGCCAAGAAAATCTCCGAGTATGGAACAAAACTTGACAAACTTACCAGGCAAATAGCCGACCAATGTCCAGAGAGCTCTACCAAGAAGGATCTACTCGCTTATTTGCAGAGAATCGCTCTGTACTGTCATCAGATGAACATCACCAGTAAGGTGAAAGCCGATGTACAGAATATCAGCGGTGAACTGATCGTCTCAGGACTCGATAGCGCTACTTCACTTATTCAAGCTGCGAAGAATCTTATGAATGCTGTGGTGCTCACCGTCAAGGCTTCTTACGTTGCCAGCACTAAATATCCTAGGCAATCCACTGTTACGGTAAGTTCTGGTTACGGTGGTGGTTCTTTTCTTTTTTCCTCTTTATCAAGAGTGAGATTTGTCCTTTACTATACCTAGACGAAGGAATTTTTTATATGATATTAATTAGTGTCTTGTTATCAAAAAGTTTTATAACTTAATTGATCTAAAATAAGTATAAGCTAGTAGTAAACGAAAGCTCGAGAGCTTGATATTGGGCTTACGATGTTTTGTAGGCCATTGGCGACAATAGGCCTCGTGTGAAACAATGGCCTCAAGAGCCGCTCCTGCTCTACCTACCCGTATCATACAATTTATCTATTACTTATTCCGTATCACTGGTTTAATTATGTTAATCTACAGCACAAAAACCGACGATACTTGCTTCCATTTTTATTACTTTAGGACTTGTATCAGTGAATTCGCACACCACCGTGACAACGTCGGCAAAGACATAGTGTCACTGCTTTGCTATTGCACAAGTACATGATTATTTCAAGAGCATTTAGATGCTTTCATTTTAATTGATTTTTACTGTGAAATATTAAGCATCTAAATACTCTTTGGCAAGACTGATTTGTTTCGTCCATTGTAAATAATTGAATTTTTATACATTTGGAATATCAGCTAATAGCTATTTGTTAGAATAAATAAAAGCACTTGGATTTTGTCAAAATTACAGAGAATGATTTAATGTACTGAAATCTCACTTATTAATAATTTAGTTAGATATTTTTATGAGCAAATAATTCTCAAAGTATTATTATTATAAGAAAAATATATCTGTACTTTGGCTAATAAAAGCTTTACTTATTGCTTGCTAACTTGCCTTTGGATCTAATAGCACGTAAGTATTTTTCGACAGAGATTTTTAACGTTGGTGTAGTCTGAGATAAGCTTGCAAAATTGTTTTTATTTATTTGTTTCAGTCAGTAAACATTTTTTTTATGAGAATGACTCCAGAGACATTTTTATCTTACATTGACTCTGAGATATGTCCGATACGTTGAACTAATATTGAAATTGTATTATTTTAAGAATTTATGTTTGAATTGTAAAACTGAGTTGGATTATGACAGTCGAATAAAAATATTCATCTTTTTTTTTTTCGTTACAGTCCCCGATTGTCGTATGGAAGATGAAAGCTCCAGAGAAGAAACCACTTGTGCGCCCCGAGCGACCGGAGGAAGTACGCGCCAAAGTTCGTAAAGGATCGCAAAAGAAAATACAAAATCCCATTCATGCACTATCAGAGTTTCAAAGTCCTACTGAAAGTGTTTAACCTTTAAAAATCATACTTTGATAAATTCCAAAACGGTCGTACCGGGGCAAATTTTCCCTGATGACTGAACAGTTCTCACGCGAATAGTGCGCGCTTTGGACTGCTGAAAAAATTCATGTATCAATTTCAAGTATTTCAGCACCTATCTAAATGATTTTCAATAGCCTCTTTTATCATAGTTATTGTAAAAAAATTACTAAAGAAATTCAAAATTCAAAAATAATAGAAAATCATAAATTTTTTAATTTTCAATATTTTTACGTAAAAATTTAGGTACGTATGTCTGAAATATTAACCTTTGAAGAAAAATATTTTTACGATGTATGTTTTAAAAATACTATTTATTTTGAAGTATAGTTAGATTTTTATAGATAAAATCGTCATGCAAATCGTTTGGAAAACCCGATTCATTAAGTCATTTAGAAAAAATATTTACTTACTCAGTTTCAAAGCTTTTGCGATTAAAATAGGTAAATATTATCGCCACACGAAGTTGAAAGATCACACAGGTGGTCATATGAGCTCACTCTTTCAAGCATCTACTTTAAATGAACAATATGCACCGACTGACGCTATCGAGTTAATAGTAGACAGTTGTTGCGTTAGTGGATATCCTTAATTAAAGATGGTATTACTTTGGCCATTTTCAAATGTTTCAATATCTAAAATCGTATTTTAAAGAAAACTGGGGACAAGTTGCCCCCGTATGACCTTTAACGGTTAAACTTTTGCCAATGGGGAATAATTTTATTTTATATTTAAAAACCATGAATGTAGTAAAGTACTAATAATTGCACAATCCATCGATGTTTCTTCTCAGATTCGTGAGATTTTAATGCTGTACGCTGTCGGTTGTTTTTACAATTATGTACGCTATACACATTTTTATCTTAGATGAGATTAGGACACGAACAAGATACTTTTTACTTATTCATTCATTTTCTGTGTACTTTCACTTGAGAGGTATTTTACTAAAAATATCTCGAAACCTATCTATTTTTTTTCTTTAGTATTTATATGAACTACGATAATTGTAATTTTTATCTAAAGTTTTGTATATCGGAATGACTCGACTTGAAAACGCTTTCTTTGTAATATTTTCATCTTTAGAATGAACACTTCTAAACGATACTGATTACAAGCGTTTTGAAAACGACAATAATCCAAATTCATTGTCTGCTGTTGAATACTGTAGACTCTATATTACAAGATTGAAAGTATTTCGAAAAATAGCTAGTTAGTCGAGTATTCGTTACAAATGAATTTGTATCCATCAATCATTACGAAACTACTGACATTTTTCAAAACTTCCTAAGCCCGCGTCGATATTTTGTCAAGAGATTGATGTGATTATTAAAATATGGCTAACTTCAATTTTGTACGTATATTATTATAAGCCTTTCATATTTTAAAATGACGAAATGTCTACTGCCCTTAGTATAAGAAAGCAAGGTAGAGAATGTAAGGCAGTATTGGATAATTTTTTTCTTTGTACAACAAACTGCCAATCGAGAGAATATTGATCACTGAGCTGATTGTATATACGTGGATACATATTTCACACATAATTGAATGTTCTTTTCGGATATCTTTTGACCTTTTTGTCATGAGATAATGGACAGCAAAATTCATACGAGTATTTATAAGCATCTTACATACTCGCTGCAATATATTTTTTAATTACAGGGTTAATTATCTGAATAAGTAGATGAGAAATATTGTATCAACTTACGAATTATTTCATATTATCGATAATCTCGCACCAAAATAGTTAAAAACGTGAATTACTTTATTTTTATGTAGAATCAGGAAGTATTGAAATAATTAGTTATTTAATTTTTTTTCTCTTGAAGCACATTATATATTTTTTTAAATTATAATTGGCATGTTTGAACGAGAAGATATGTTTTCTGAAGCATTTTTATCGAGATTTATTTATTAATCAAGTCATTGTATTCTTTAGTCTTTTATTTTAGGAAGAAAATTTAAATCTATTAGTTATCATTTCAAGAATTTATCTAGAGTACTCAATCTTTTAATCTTTATTTTTTAGGTTTATTTTTGTAAGTCAACTCACTTTCTGCTGTAGTAAATTATGAATGAATCGAGAATTTTAAATAATAATGTGGTAATCATTTTGTATGGCATATTAGTATAATAAAGTGAATACAAAATATACTTGACGACGCAACCTGTAGAATTTACGGAATTTTATAATTAAATTTTACAATAAAATCATCACAAATATATAGAGGAAATAATAAAAAAAATTTGTAATCAATGTAATTTTCCCTTCCTGTCTCATTGACTGTCGGAAGTAGAGTTATAAAAGTAGATTTCGCATATCACAATGACATGTTATAAGACATGTTATACATCTTTAAAAAATAATTACCGTTTTATTCTTTACTACTTGAAACAGTATTGCTGATGCGCCGTTAGGATAAAATGATTTTGACTGTATTGAAAAAAAAAAATAAATAAACAAATGTGATTAAATGTAAATGGATTTTTCACAATTGCAAAAGGAAAACAAGCAATTAGAAATATACTGGAGTCAAGCATTATGTATTTCAAATTGTGCATCAATTGTGTGTAATTCATTTTTGCAAGAAGCAATCATGTGCAAATTTTTTAATAAAACCAAGAAATATTATTCTTGTAACATTTTATGTGAGATGGAATTATTTTGCGTATGGAAGAGGAGATTACTTGTTTAAGTATATATTATACTTGTTCTGAATATATTTTGCAGTTTCAATAATAAACTCATCTATCACGAATAGATGCCAGAAACAGTGTATAATTCCCAACGGGAAATTTGAAAAAAAAGTATTACAGATGACAATGCAAGGTTTTAAATGTGTTATATGTATAATCTGCTGTAAACTGCATGCATACACATTGAGAAACGATCAATAAAATTTTACAGAAAAAATATAAAGAGGATAGTCTTTTGATACTCATCCCCTTATTGATTTGTTTTTTTGTTTTTTAATTTTCTTGTAATAGATATTAGATGCCGTGAATGAAATAAAGAAAAAATAATTACTTATAGATTCATTCGTACATCAAAACATGAAACCTTTCGGGTTACACAACTGAAAAGGAATTAATTATCGTATTTCGATACTCGTATGTACTTATCGCTGAAAAACATCCCTAAATAGAAGTGAATAAATTCTTGTAAGTAAAAGTTAGGCATAAAATACGCTATTCAACAAGAAATTTATAAATTAAATTACTTTTAGCTTGGCATCTTCTAATCAATTTCTTAACCCACGCCGAATTTAAATAAAAACGAGGGGCGCGTAAGCGAAAATGTAGCGCATATAGCTATATACAGTACAAGCATATGATGTATGGATGTATGTATGTATGTACGTATATGTACCATCTGCATTTTGAAACTGCTAAACTATGATGGGTCTCGACGGGGTGGCGGCGTAGCGCAGTAGCGCCGTCAGAAAAGAGAGACAGATAGTGTCCCATACCAGGCTGTTCTAACCTCAAACGTTGCATTTCCTCTGGTCGCTACTCCACAACAAGGCATCGTATACCACCGTATTTGTCTCTCTCATTCTGAGGAAGATTATCGACGACGATATTCCAATGTGGTAGATGAACTACAGCATCCTTTGCTTCTTGGTTCGTTGACATTTCACTTCTCGTTCCTTTTTTGCTATCGCCAGTCTTTTCTCCTCTGTGTATGTATCGCGGAGTCGCTACGCCGTCGGGCTTCCATTTATACTTCTATTTTGTTCGTTCCTACTTTTGTTTTGTGTCAAAGTTTTTCACAAAATATGAATCACCCTTTGTTTACCAAACATTTGCTAACACGTATTGTGAGAAATGTTTATCGTGTTCAATATTGTACTTATTCTTTTTCAAGAAATCGTTATTTTTTGAAGTATTGTTGTTACTTATCTTCAATTTTTTATACTTTATTATCGCAATATCGCAAAGATTTTGAGTGTGACACATATTTTTTCAATTTTTAATAAGTTTTTAGATGTCCTGAAAACAATTTAGTCTTCTGATTTTGAAGTAAAAAAATATACAGTTAATTGTTAAGATTTTCCAAATTTAATTATGTTTTAAAGAAGTTTAAAACATATTGAAACTATTTCAAACACAAGTTCACTGTTTTACTTGAAAACATACTGTAGGACAACTTATTTGATAACATAATAATTACCACTTTATTATAGATACAGAAATTTTAGATGATACATAAATAATTGCAAGACTAGCAACAAAGGCTTACATTATTTCAGGGACAATTGTGATTAGAATATTTTGGATCTGATGAATAATTACCTCCAATGGCTAGATGAAACTTTTTCATTAAAATCATGAGTTCAATTAAATGCATTGAACATTGGGTATACAAAATACTTATTTTTCAATCAAATAATTCTATACAACAGGTATAATTTTTCTGGTTAATTTTATATTTTTCTTTAAAATAGTTGTCTTGTCTAGTTGGACATTTAATCTATACTTGATGAGTATCTCAAGGCCATGCTAAAAGGGGTACAGCTGAACTGAGGCCGAAAAAACAATGGATCCCCTGCAAGAAGTACGTCAGCTGGAATTGCTGTGCAAGCAGCTTTATGAGTCTCAGGATTCGGCACATCGTGCAGAAGCAGAAAAAGCACTGGTCATTTTTCAGAATGCCCCAGATACACTTACCAAGTGCCAGATGCTACTAGATCGTGGAGATTCAGCTTATGCACAGTTATTGGCTGCGACTACTCTTACTAAATTAGTTTCTCGATCTGCTCAGGGATTGAGTTTACAGCAAAGACTTGATATAAGTTAGCATCTTCTATTTTTTATGATAATGTGTTAATCAGTTGTACATGTATTTATAATCTATGTCATTGTAGGAAATTATGTTCTAAATTATTTAGCAACACAACCGAAACTGCCCAACTTTGTTATCCAAGCATTGGTTACACTATTTTCTCGTATATCAAAACTTGGGTGGTTTGATTCAGACAAGGATGAGTTTGTTTTTAGGAATGTAGTCAGTGATGTTTCCAAGTTTCTGCAGGTTTGTAAAAAATCTAAATTTAGATAGATGATAGTGTAAATTAAATATTTCATCAAATTCTTTTTCAGGGATCAGTCGAGCATTGCATGATAGGAGTGCAATTACTTTCCCAGTTAACTTGTGAGATGAACCAAATATCAGAAGCTGATGCCAACAGATCTCTAACGAAACACCGGAAAATAGCCAGTAGTTTCAGAGACACGCAACTGTTTGAAATATTCAGATTATCGTGTTCATTATTGGGTACTGCGCGTGAAAATTGTAAAAATTTAAATTTCAATGACGAAGCTCAGGTATATTTTTTTACTGATAAAGAGTCTTTTTGATTAAAATAATTGAAATAAACATTTTTTTTCGTTATAGCATGGATTAATGACTCAACTCTTACGACTAGCACAAAATTGTTTGACATTTGATTTTATTGGTACCTCAACTGATGAGAGTTCGGATGACTTATGCACCGTACAAATTCCGACGAGTTGGCGACCTGCATTTCTCGATTTTTCCACTCTGAAATTATTTTTTGACCTCTACCATAGTCTCCCGAATTCACTATCTTCACTTGCACTTTCCTGTTTGGTTCAAATTGCCTCCGTAAGACGCAGTTTGTTTTCAAATACTGAAAGGGCCAAGTTCCTAACTCATCTAGTTAATGGCGTTAAGCATACACTGCAGAATCCGCAAGGGCTAAGTGATCCTGGAAATTATCACGAGTTCTGTAGATTACTTGCTCGTTTGAAGAGCAACTATCAACTCGGTAAGATATTTTATAATTCATATTTTGTAGAAAAATAACAATTCTCTTCGAAGCTAATATTTTTTTCGAAACTAGGTGAATTGGTGATGGTTGAAAATTACCCAGAGGCCATTCAGCTTATTGCGAAGTTTACAGTGCAAAGCTTACAGATGTGGCAGTTCGCGCCTAACAGCGTGCACTATTTGCTAAGCCTATGGCAGCGAATGGTCGCCTCTGTGCCTTATGTCAAAGCAACTGAACCTCACCTTCTTGAGACATACACTCCAGAAGTTTCCAATGCCTACATCACTTCGAGATTGGAATCTGTTGCAGTAGTAGTGAGAGAAGGTTTGGAGGATCCTTTGGATGATTTGGGAATGGTCCAGCAACAGTTGGAACAACTTTCTGTTATTGGTAGATGCGAGTATCAGAAAACTTGTACCCTCCTTGTTCAACTGTTCGATCAAGCTGCGAGAACTTATCAAGAGTTACTTGCACAGTCTGGTACACCAACCCAGCAGATGGACATTCTCGTTCAGGAAGGGCGGCTCACTTGGCTTGTTTACATCATTGGTAAATTATTCATAAGCAATGTACTACGATATTTCTGTGGAAACGTGCTTCGAATTCTATTTTTTTTGTATTGTAGGAAGTGCTATAGGTGGCCGAGTATCCTTTAACAGTAACGAAGAACATGACGCAATGGATGGTGAACTGGTCTGTCGAGTTCTTCAACTGATGAACTTGACTGACTCAAGATTAGCACAGGGTGGTTGTGAGAAGCTCGAGTTGGCCATGTTGAGCTTTTTTGAACAGTTTCGCAAAATTTATGTGGGCGATCAAGTACAAAAAAATTCCAAAGTGTATAGGCGATTGTCTGACGTTTTGGGTTTGAGTGATGAAGCTATGGTTCTTAGTGTGTTTATTAGAAAGATGTAAGTATTGTTGATATGATTGTATTTTAAATAAAAATACTAAATGCCGTTGCTTTTCTTTGTAGAATAACAAATTTGAAGTATTGGGGAAGAAGTGAACAAATTATTTCAAAGACTTTGCAGTTATTAAGTGATTTATCTGTTGGTTACACTTGCGTTCGTAAACTTGTTAAATTGGAAGAAGTTCAGTTCATGTTAAATAATCATACGGTACGTCGAAATAATTAATATAGTTCGATGAAGGTAATTTTTATTTTATTTTATTTATTTATTTATTAAATGCCTTTTCTGTTTCAGAGTGAACATTTTCCATTTTTGGGTAACAGTGCGGCTGTGACAGAAATGCGTTGTAGATCAATGTTCTATACATCACTGGGTAGATTGCTTATGGTGGATTTGGGCGAAGATGAAGAAAGGTTTCATACATTCATGCTCCCTTTGACAGGTTGGTATAATATAGAGATAGGTATAAGAATTAATAGAGATTTCTAATTATCAAAATATTTATAGCTGCTTTTGAGAGTTTGGGTCAGTTAATGGGAGCAGCTGACACGCCACTATTCGCTGCTGAGGAAGCAAAGAAAGCATTAATTGGTTTAGCAAGGGACCTTAGAGGATTGGCATACGCTTTCAATACTAAAACTTCTTATATGATGTTATTTGATTGGATATATCCAAATTACACTCCGATCTTATTACACGCGATCGAGCTTTGGTATCACGAGCCACAAGTGACAACACCAGTGTTGAAATTATTCGCGGAATTAGTACAGAACCGCAGTCAACGTTTACAGTTTGACGTGTCGTCTCCAAGTGGAATTTTACTTTTTCGCGAGGCGAGCAAAGTGATATGCAGCTATGGCAATCGCATACTCAACATCGAGGTGTCCAAAGATCAAATTTATCCACTGAAGCTTAAAGGTATCAGTATATGTTTCAGTATGCTGAAAGCTGCATTGTGTGGCAGCTACGTCAACTTCGGTGTGTTTAGGCTCTACGGTGATGAGGCACTCGACAACGCTCTGAACACTTTTGTAAAATTGCTGCTCAGCATATCGCAAAGTGATCTCTTGGTGAGCTCTTCGGACTTTTATAAAAGGATTCTGAGTATTGGTAGTTAAATCACGTAGTCTTTTTTTTAATGTAATTTTCATGAACATAGGATTATCCAAAACTGTCCGTAACATATTACGCTCTGTTGGAGTGTCTGGCGCAGGACCACATGGCCTTCCTCTCGACCCTTGAGCCTAGGGTATTTTTGTACATTTTGTCGAGCATCAGCGAGGGCCTCACAGCACTAGGTGCGCTTAAAGACTCCTACACAGGTCTGTGCGGCTGTGATTGCGAATGTATCCTCGTCACTATTGCACAAATTGATAGTCGTCGATATAAATTTTTACATTGGAACTTCCTTGTCCTTTAGCGCTTGTTTTTTGTTACATACCTCCTTAGTATTTATCTTTATTTCAATCGCCAGTTTTTGGAAATTTTTTTCATATACTTAACTTTCACCATTTGAATTTTTATAAAAATTTTATCGAAGTAGAAGAAAGTGACACTTCAGATCAATGCAATGCTAGAATGATTGGGTTATCTTAATCAAAGAGTGCCATTATCTTCTGCTAAAAATTCTATCTTTTGAATTCACCATAATGGGAGAGACATCAAATTACCGAAATTCGTTTTATTCTTTTTCGTTGTTTACCAATTGTTAGAAAGTTATGCACGAGGAGGACTGAAGCCCAAGATTACCAGACCGTCTGCATCAGATCTAAGCACCCATACTCAGCCGCACAGCTGGCCTATTTACTAATTTCATTTTTATTTGTTCTAATATTTTATTGTTTGCATGGCTTTTATTGATTTTCTGTACTTGTCTTGCGATTGTTCGTATGTGCCTGCAAGTAATTAGAACAATACTCATTCGTTAATACCCCATTCAGCAGCATTTATATATTTCTATCTATTTCTTCATTTGCAGATACGATGATTTGTAATGGCTGTTGCGTAACTCTAGATCATATTGTAACTTACTTATTTAAGCAACTGTATCAGAAAGGTAATATATTTTTTTCTCAAATTCATATTTATAAAAATAAAATTAAAGAATACATTTTCTACTTTTTATTTTCTATCGAAGCTGGCATGTATCCCGGTAAAAAGAATTCCGTTGTGCAAAGTGGCGGAGATTTGTTTTTACAAGTTCTCAAACAGCATCCCGAAATACTGCAGCAGATATTAAGTACTGTTTTAAATGTGATAATGTTCGAGGATTGCAGAAACCAGTGGAGCATGTCGAGGCCACTTTTGGGCCTTATACTTTTGAATGAAGAGGTTGGCGCGCTTTTTTAAAAAAATTATATTAACATTCATCGGATAATTTTTTGATGACTGTTTATTTATTGTAGTATTTTAATCAATTGAGAGAAAATATTATTAGAAGTCAATCAGTAGATAAACAAGCTTCAATGGCGCAGTGGTTCGAAAATCTCATGGACGGTATTGAAAGGAATTTACTTACAAAAAATAGAGACAGGTAATAATTTTCAAACTAGTTGTATTTTCAATTTAAAATAGTATTTTTTCTGAATTTATTTTGTAATATTTAAAATATTTTACAGATTTACGCAAAATCTGTCAATGTTTCGGAGAGATATAAACGATTCGTTAAAAGGGCCCAGCATGAACTCGACCAATTCGGGCAGTGACATGATGACATCGTAGTGACATTGCTGGTTTTTCCTACCAGATGCCGATGTCAAAACTTTTAGGCTCCTTGCCTACCAAAATGCTTGAATGTATGAGAGGGAGAGAGAGGATTGGAGAGGGAGAGTAGGAAAGAAATGTAAACAAGAGTGAGAATGCCATTATTGAAACACATGAACAAACAAACAAAGCCCGACTATGGTTATTATAGATACAAAAAATAACAAATTATGATTGAAATAAGTATAAAGATTTTAAATGAAGACTGCCGCTCGACTTCCGATTCATCACATAGCACTGTCCTTGTACACTCCTCTGTTCGATAAGAACTTCGGAAAAATTGATTTTCCTTTAAATTTCGTCAGGGTTATTGATTTCTATCTGGGAAACATCGTGAATAAATGAAGTTTAAAACATCACCTACGTTAATTGATCATTCTTCAGTGAAGTTTCTCAACTAGATAATCAAGAGTTAAATAAAAGAAGTAATAAATATTGCAATTTCATGTCAACAAATACAACAATCACTTTAATGAAAGAAACTATTTTTTGAAAATAATAGAGAAATAAAAAAGCAATAGAACTTCTTTAGACTAGTTTAAACAAGATTATTAACTATCATCTTTTTAATACCGTCAAGAGAGTGACTTTCCTAATTAAAATGTTATCGTTCAATTAGTCGTATTATAAAATACGTAAAACTGGAGCTTTGAAATCTTTTGACCATAGTTTACTGTTCAGTCAAATTAATGTGGCCAATATAAATTGTACATTAAAAAAAATTTTCGAAGTGTGAATCGGGTAAAAATTGTGAGCAATGTTAATTCATAAAATCTGAATGATGCTTTTCTATAATACATGACTTCGTTCGACTATAGTTTTTCTCGTAAAATGTTTGTTCAACGTTGCAATAAGCTATATGAATTTAGCATATGCATTTTTCCACTGTGACAAATAGAATGATAAATTCACTACTTTGTATTGACTGGTAACATGTCTCAATTCTTAAAATTTTAATTTTTATTTACATTCGATAAAACTGTGAATTTAAGATCAGAAAAAAGTTTTTCGTAACCGAAAAGAATATGATGTTAAAATTATAAGTTCACATGGATAAATCATCATGTTCTACTAATGTTGTTTTAATTATTTCATTTGTGCATATGAATCAATGGGAAAAAAATAAAATCAAGTGACAAAACTTGCGCGCTGTTTTTCGACCTTTATATTTTTGTATCATAATGCGTACGTTATGTGTACTTGTGATTTGTGTTTGAATATCGCGAAGTGCCGTCAAACTTGCCTTTTTTCATGATCGCTTAGAAGCAACAATACCGAGAGTGCGTGGATTTCTTTTGATTGGCAGAACTATTTGAAAGCTGTATACCATATCTTCGTAAAAAATATACTGGCACAAGTGGATATTTTTTATGTGCAGTTGTATGAAGAATATAATTATTTTTCCTAGTGATTGACAATATTTGATTCATTTGCTTTTGAATGAATATTGAATTTTGTTATGTCAGTATATACGTCTTCTATAATTAATTTGATAATTATCTTTTACATTGCAAATATTTTCAGAGTTACAATCAGTCGCCAATACTGACGTAGCAAGCTTTGTTTGGATCATGAATTTAATTTAATTTTGAGTAAAAAATAAGTACAACAAAAAAAACGGCATATTTACATATATTGTATTATTTCTAAATTGGATTAAAATATTTTAAGATTGAATTAAAAACGTTTTAATTAACAATATATAGAACCATATTTGCCGTCTTTTGCAGTGTAGCTTTTATTTTCCAACTTATAATTGATTTACTCATTCATGCATACTTTGCATGTATATTCATTTTTTTATACAGAATTTGATTTCAACTGTTATTTTTATATTCAAGCTTTAAATGACTTCTATTCATTTCTGTATAATCTAATATTTTTGGTACAAGTTTAAAATCCATTTAATTTAAATCTTGAGTTATCAATAGTATATAAACTCCATGGGTTACAAATAGTAATTTATCAATCAAGTTTGAAAAGTCCGAACAATTTTGTGTATTTCACTTACGGAAACTGCGTGTAAAAATGATTTGAAATAACTTAAAAGTCGAATAAATTTATAGTATAAATTAAATTTATACAAACGCCGGTAAAATAGAAAACTTGACTACTGAAAGGGACAAATTGAATAATTAATAATATGCGTGTGTATGCAAAACTTTGATTCGTTGCAACAAACGTATAAGTATGCTTGCTTAATATCACACAAGAATGAATAAAAAAATAAAATTAAAAAAAGGTTGCTACAATGAGTGGAAGAAGTATAATACCAAGATGAAACAGTGCATTTGAAGTATGAAAAACATAGTAACGAAACAACTGCGTGAATGCTTTTCTTTCAAAATCATGTTGTGTCAAAAGCAAAAAAAATGTCCTGGGTATTTCTTGTCACGCTGCAAATTGTACTGTACTAGAAATATTTATATTTGAAACAAAATAATAAAGAAATCAGCAGCAAAGTGAACGACAAGTGGAGTTTATTAATTTAACAAAGTGATATAGAAAATATTGCAAATGAGTCTTAATGGAAAGTTATTTCACAAATAAATGAGTACTACAAAAAAGTATACGTCTGTTGAATTTTTTTCATAACCGGCCTCGTTTTTCGACACTTCAATGTCACACTCTAAAATGCCGCGTTAATTAAAACAAAACGTCTATTTGATCGCAATAAATCGCCGCGTAGATGATCAAGAACTAAAAAGCAAAAAGTATACAAGTGGGCCTGTAACTCAACGGTAGAGTGTCTGCTTCGTGTGCTGAAAGTCCTGGGTTCAAATCCCAGCTTCTACAATTTACTTTATTTTTGCTCTGAAATGCTCAAGTGTCTGGGTGTGGCCTTCGAGTTAATTTTGTAGATTTTATTCCTAAATAAATATAAAGTTTTTGGTGTAAATTTAATTTTGACCATTTTTTTATTTTACGATTGCGTTTATATGTAATAAACATCAGGTAACTAATAATTCTACGATTGAATATTTAGTTATTTTGGAATGACATTTGTTTTAAGCGCTTTTACATTATTTGAAGAAATGTAGTAACTGATAATTATCGAAAGTTTATTGTGGAGTAATTGGGAAAAAATAATTTAAATATTAACGTTCAATTAATATATATACAAAAAACAGCGTCAAAACTGTTTGGTGCGCTTTCGCCTAGTCTCCTTAAAAATGTACTCGTCAATGAGAATTAGTTGATCGATGATAAAAAAAATTGAATGATCAGTAGGTTATTAAATCGCAATTGATTTTAACACAAAGGTGTTACTTACCTTACGTTCGCTAGAGGTCGTCGGTACAGTATGTACGGTAACTTTACCATCTCTAATATCTGGGGGTGTAACTCAGTGGTAGAGTGTCTGCTTCGCATGCTGAAAGTCCTGGGTTCAAATCCCAGCTCCTCCAAACATTTTTTTTAATTTTAATTCTTTTCACCATTTTTCAAATTACGCACTGCAACGTTAAATACAATGATATTTCATCGATATTTTATACATTTATGAATAAAACGTTCGTGCAGCGTATCGTAGCGCACGCATATGTGCGCGAGCCATGCCAACGTTTCATGAAGCGCATACTAGTCGATGACCTTTATTTTTATATATTGGATAAAAAAATATTATCTTAATTGAGGGTGACATGTCAATGCTCGATAAAATAAATAATTATTTTGGTCTTTCAATTAAAATCCATTCGCTTTTCCTCTCGATAGAAGCTTGGATCTCTTACTTATTGCAACCTCGATTACAGCGTAAATGGAATGTTTCTTCATTTTAATGATTCTACGTAATGTATAAAAATAATTGCAAAGCCATTCATTGCATCCAGAATAGTTGGTGCAGGAGACATCGAATATAGTTCAGAAATTTGACTTGATTTGCTTTGGATGCTTACGATACTTTTCGTTAGAGATTTTCGATGTGCTAAAATAAACAATGTACAAAATAAGGACATTGACCGAACGTTTTTGTAAACAAAAGAAAATCACAGCTGTAATTGCAAAAGTACTCCGTGAATACAGTTCAATTTAATTGTGATCGTTAAGAATCCCGAGCAAATCGTTACTAACAAAATTGTAATCTAGTAGTCTGTATCGAAACATGTGCGCGCTGCGGCGGAATAAAATAAACAATGGTTGTGCTTAAATATTTCAGTTGCAAATTTATTAGTACACCACTTTATACATACTAGATTATACATGAACGTCTGAAACGTGAAAACAATGTGAAATAATTAGTCAACGAGGCAGATTACAAACAGCAAAGTGAGCGTAACAGCATGTCGAAGACCGGCAAAATACATAAGAGATGCGCGTTGACATTTGCGACGGCGAGAGCGAATGGGCGCGCAGTGCGTCCCGAACCATTGATAAGCACTTGAGCAGCAGGAGACGCGGTAAAATCTAGCCCAGTCTAGTCACTCCTGCGGCACTAGTACTTAGGAACAGGACGGGATTTATCGTCGACAGAGCTGGTTTGTGTCCTTCGGCTTGGCCAGCAGCTTCGGCACGAGACTCGCTGAAACAAGAGCAAAAGTAGGACTGCGCGCGAAACGTCAGTCGGCGACGCGCGGCGCCCCCCTGCCCCCCCCCCTCCTCCGTTCGAGCAACACGTGCGCGCAACTGCGAACGGTCTAATTTCGAGCGGCGCGACGTGTCGAAGCAAGCCGCGACTTGGCTTTACGACCCGTGCCGCCGTTGACTCTCGCCTCCCCGACCGGAAGCACTCAATTGAAATATTATGAATCGGAAGCGGAGGGAGGGAGATGGTGCCGCGGAGAGAGAAAGAGAGAGGATTAAAGGCTTGCATCCCGTGCGCGGACGAGTGGGGGGGGGGGGGGGAGAAAAAGCGCGATTGCGAGCTTTGCTTCTTCGTTTTTTCCACTCTTGGTTGGCGATCGCGTCTGATCAGATAATTAGCCTTGCGAGCGGATACGTCGAGTTGAACGAGTTGTCGAAAACGGCGTTGTTTCTCGGTACCGAACTCGCGGCTCGTTTTCCATACGATTCCGTGTTCCTCCATGAAAGTTAAAGGGAAAACAAAAAAAAAACATGTTCATCGAGCGCTCAATGGACGTCCTTTACAAGTTGAAAGTCAGCTGACAGCGGACGACGCGACTCCAACGAACGATCCAAAAGACGCGGCGCTAGAGCAAATCGAAAACGCCGGTCGGCGGCCACGAGCGGTAATTAGCCCAGATGCGAGCGCGAGACGTGAGAACGAGGAGGCGGGGGCTGTTCTCCGCGAAGGAAATCCTAATAAAAAGCCCGGTCGGTCGCTACATTGGATAATTGCGCGAGAGAGGGATGCGCTAAGTAGCAGGTAATTGCATCTCGGCGGCGGCTGCGATTCGCGAAAATCGCCGCCGACGCCGCGCGCTTTTATTTTGCGCGCTCGTGCGTGATGTAATGGAAGTCTTCTACTCCGGGATACATCAATCCAGCGAGTTGTCTCGATTCCCAGACGAGAAGAGGGGCCTCATTCTATCTCTCTCTCTCACTCTCTCTCTCTCTCGCCGGCTCTTGCACAGTGGCCTTCATTCAGCTTTTCAGGACTCCCTCGCGCGTGCGCCTCCGCCTGAAAAATACGCACACGCGGTGTACTCAGTTTTGGCTCTCCTCTCCGCGGGCCGCCGACGCGCGCGAACTTCTTCTTATTTTATCTCGGCCCAGATAATAATTGCGCCAGATTGGAAATATCGGCGGCGAGAGCGGGATAATAAAGAGCGGCGCGGCTTCCTGCCCTCCGACGCGATCCATCGGCGACCTCGCGATTCGGCGCCAAGTAGGCGAGCAACGAGCGGCCGTTATCTGCGGCGTAACCGAGCCTGCATCCTATCGCGCGAGAGCGCGCCTCTCGCGTTACTCGGCACCCGCGCGCCCCGTATCGAACTCGACGGCGCTGCTTCGATTTCAAAACAGCGATTCCTTTTCTCTTTTCGTCCAATCGAGCGAAGGAATTCGCGCGTGCGTCACTCGCGCCCGAGTCATCGTCGGCGTGAGACAATTAACGCTCGTTGAGCGCCGCCGCCGCCGAGAGAGAGAAAGAAAAAGCAATTCGGGGCGTGCCGGCATTGACAGTGCGCAGATGCTCGGCCGACGAGGCGGCCCGAGAGAGAGAGAGAGAGAGCACGTGCGATTTTTTATTTCCAGATGCTCCACGGCTGATGCGCGCGGGTCGTCGAACCTGTCTCTCTCGGGCCGCTTTCGGCGCGACAACGACAGACCGCGAACCTTCCCCGCGCGCGCGGTCAAGTTCCGCGTCCGGCAGCTTTGCCGGGCGCAGAAGCAGATTCCGCGCCGCGCGTCAACATTATGCAACCGGCGCGCGCTCGCGGCTTGTCAAAATCGAACTCTGGCGGGCGGGGGGCACGTTGCGTCGGGCCGCTGCGCTACCGCTGGACGATGCGTTCGTGGAACGGCTCGTCGAGAAATCTCTCTCTCTCTCTCTCTTGCCGTATCAGCTGCGCGCGGGTCAAGAAGCCAAAGACGATAAAAGGCCGCGACGACGGAAAAAGAGCGAGCCCCTCTCTCTCTTTGTTTTTCTTTTGTTTCTTTCCAGCGCGGAAACTCGGGAAACGCGCGAGGATATTTCGCGCGCCCGCGCGCGGCTTCCGTTTTCCCCGATCAAAATTCCGGCCTGACAATGCCAGGAAATGCCGCGCGACGTCGGCTCGACCTCTCGCGATGACGCTTCAAAAGAATGGAGAAAAACAGTAACTTTACTTACGCTTTCGACTCGTCGCGCGCTTGCACAAAAGTCTTCTAGACGTACACACACTAAGCAAAAGAGAAAGAGAGAGAGAGAGAGAGAGAAAGAGAGAGAGAGAATGAGAGCGATGAAAAGAAAAGCGGTGCGGGCAGGGTAGGGAGGATTTAAAGCGCACGTTGCCGCGTCGTGAATCGAGGAACGTGAACGTCAAGCGAGACGAGATGACCGCGCAACGGCGGCAAACGGCCGACTGAGCGATAAACTAGCCTTGATTGGCTTAATATAGTCGGGCGCGCGCGCGGAACTGTAATTGGCCGGGCGAGCGCGCCGAGCGCTGATTGGTCAATTGGGATCCTAGAGAGACGCACACGCGCGCGCCGCGGGCAGGGACGTGAAGCATTTAAGCGTTCGAGCGGCGCGTTCCCGCGTATCGGACGCGCTGGCCGCCGGCCTCTCTGCGGGTGCCGTCCGAATTCCGCGGACCGGCGCGTGCGGGCGGGCCGAGGGGTGGCCGGCTCTCTCGTCGCGATCTCTCGCGGATCCCCGCTTGCGCGCGGCGGTTTCCCTTGCCCTCGCGGACCTAGCAAGGCTCGCGCTGTCGCAAGCGCAGCGCGCCGGTTTATTTTCGGAGCACTTGGATATTTCAATTGAATAATAATAGTTTTATCGTGACGTCAGGCCCCGGAGGAGACGCGTGAGATCATGCCGTTCGATAGTTTTTTCATCTGCCTGCGCGCACGCATGTCGTCGGCGAGCACGGTTGCGACGCCAAAAAGACATTCGCGCGCGTTACGCGAAAACGCGCAGCGAGAGGGAACGGAT